ACGATGTATGTGCCCGTGTGCGCGCGCACGCTGTATAAGGTGCGTCGCACATATATATATATATATATATATATATACATATATATATATATATGCACGCACATCTATACATATATACATACATACATATATGTGTATATATACACATGTATGTGTGTATATATTTACGATGCGCACATGCAATATCCAGGTCGGCAACGCGCCGCCCTTTCGCCTGCGCACGCGCAGCGCGCGCGTGCGAGGCGCCGTCGCCAAATCGGCGACGGCATGTTGAATTCAATGCGCCGCGCGCAGGCTTTGCTGCGCGCGCTTAAAACAAATGACAATATCCAGGTCGGCGCGCGCCACCCCTTTCGCCTGCGCGCGCATTGCGCGTGCGAGGGCGCGCCGCAAGGCATGCAAGCGTCGACGTCGCGCCCACGCATGGGGGCGGCGGCAACGTCGACGTTGCCGCCGCCCCCACGCATGGGCCACGATCGGACGGGTTCATGATGGGTGGGGGGTCGTCGACCCCCGATGGGGGGGGGCTATAGCCAACGGCCGTTCCACGATCGGGAAGGGGGGTGGGGGGTGGGGGGGTGGGGGCGGTGGGGTGTTGGTGAGGGGGGGGGGGCGCAGCTCAGGTGGCCAAATGGGCCCTTGGGAGACACGAGGCACTGTTTTTTTGGGTGTGGTGAGGGGGTGAGGGGGGCACAGGGCACTAGTTGGTCCCTGGCCCATCCTCGGCCCTCGGGCTATAGGGCCATCCTTCGAGGGGCATCGCGCTGCCTTCGGGCTAGGGAGAGGGGGGGGGGGGGGCAGGGGTGGCCCAGGCCCTTTGGGGCTCGATGCCCCCCCCCCAGGGAGGTGGGGGCGGCGCCACCAAGTGGGCGGGGGGGCACATATAGCGACCCCGCATGGGAACATTACAGAACTTTACAGAACATTACAGAACATTACGGAACATTATATAACATTACGGAACATTATTAGAACATTACATAACATTACGGAACATTATTAGAACATTATTAGAACATTACAGAACATTACAGAACATTACAGAACATTACGGAACATTACGGAACATTACGGAACATTACAGAACATTACAAAACATTACGAAACATTATTACAACATTACGGAACGTTATTAGAACATTACAGAACATTACAGAACATTACAGAACATTACAGAACATTACAGAACATTACAAAACATTACAGAACATTACGGAACATTACAGAACATTATTAGAACATTACAGAACATTACGGAACATTAGTAAAACATTACAGAACATTACGGAACAGTATTAAAACATTACAGAACATTACAGAACATTACAGAACGTTACGGAACATTACGGAACATTACGGAACATTACGGAACATTACAGAACATTACAGAACATTATTAGAACATTCCAGAACATTACGGAACATTATTAGAACATTACAGAACATTACAGAACATTACAAAACATTACAGAACATTGCGAGAACATGACAGAACATTACAAGAACATTACAGAACATTGCAGAATCGTGGCAATCGTTCGTCTCTGAACTCGATCGCGGGCCCCCATGGGCCCCTAGGGGCCCGCGAGGGGCGGGGGGCGGAGGGCGGATAGGGGGGCGCGAGGGCCCTCGGTGCCCCCCCCAAGGTGGCCTATAATGCCCTTGAGCTACCCCTAGGGGTGCGCCTAGGTTAGCTAGGGGGCACCTAGGGGGCGTCATAGGGGCCGCCCTAGGGGGTGCCCTAGGGGTTCCCCTAGGGGTGCCCTAGGGGGTGCCCTAAGGTGTGCCCTGGGGGGTGCCTTAGTGGGTGCCCTAGGGGCCGCCCTAGGGGGGTGTGCGCACCAGGGGCGCCCTAGGGGTGCCCTCGGGTGCGCTATAGGAGGCCCATAGGGTGCCCCCCCATAGATGGTGCCCCCTAGGGGGCATAGGGAGGGCCCTAAGGGTGCCCCATGATAGTCACAGGGTGCCCCTTTACGGTGTGGCCAAGATGACAGGGGGCATTGCGGGTGGGAACCCTCAGGGCGGGGTGTGGTGGGGTGGGAGGGGGGAGGTGGGGGGGGGGGGGGTGGGGGGGGGGGGGGGGGGGGGGGGTGGGGGGGGGGGGGGGGGGGGGGGGGGGGGGGTGGGGGGGTGGGGGGGGGGGGGTGGGGGGGCGGGGGGGGGGGGAGGGGGGGGGGGGTGCTGGGGGGGGGGTGGGGTGGGGGGGGGGGGAGGGGGGGGGAGAGGGGGGGGGGGGGGGATGGGGTGGGGGGGGAGGGGGTGTAAGGGGGTGTGGGGGGGGGGGGGGTATGGGGGGGGGGGGGGGGTGGCGGGGGGGGGGCGGGGGGGGGCTGGGGGGGGGGGTGGGGGGGGGGGGGGGGGGGGGGGTGGAGGGGTGGTGGTGTGGGGGTGAGAGGGGGGGGGTGGGGCAAGGCGCCCACGGGCCACCATGCGGACGGGGCCCTCATGGGCCCAAACGTGCGGCTGGTCTGGTCGATCTTGCGCGGTGCGTAGTGTGAAAATGTTTCGCCGAAGTCGCCGAGCCACCTCCGCGTTGCCCAGGGCGTGCACCTGGGCGGCACGGGCACTTCTCTCGGTCGCTCGATCCCTCGCTTGCGTGCGCACGCAGTTCCGAACGTACGCATGTATACAAGCGCGCATGACCAGCATGGTATACCACTATATAAATAAGCGTGCGTGCGCCAATATATGGATGTAGGGAGGTAGGTGTATAGACAGGTAGGTATGTAAGTCGGTAGGTGTAGGTAAGTATCGTGCGCAAATATACGTACTTATTATATATACACATACATACATATACATACAGACAAACATACATACGTACATATACATACATACCTATATATATACATCTATATATATATATGTCCTCCTCCTCCTCCTCTTCCGCCTCCTCCTCCTCGACCTCTTCATCATCCTCCTGGTCCTCATCCTCCTCCTGTCCCTCCGCCGCCTCCTCCTCCTCGCCCCCTTCCCTCCTCCAATCCTCCTCCTCCTCCTCCTCCTCTTCCTCCTCCCTCCTGTCCCTCCCCGACCCTCCTCTACTATCGTCCTCGGCCTCGTCCTCATCCTCATCCCCCTTTTCCTCGTCCTCAGCACTCCTCCTCCTCCTCCTCCTCCTCCTCCTCCTCATCTATTTCCTCCTCGTCCTCCTCCTGTGCCCCCCCCCCCTCCTCCTACTCCTCCTCCTCCTCCTCCTCTTCCTCCTCCTCCTCTTCCTCCTCCTCCTCGAGCTCCTCCTCCTCCTCCTCCTCCTCATCCTCCTCCCCCCTCCCGATCCCCGTCCCGCATATATATATAATATATATATATATACATGGTAAATATAAGTATATATGTATAAATATAATGCAAACCCCGGGAGGGATGTGTACCCCTCCTCATCTTCCCCTCAGCCTGCTCCGCCTCCAGATCTCCAGGTATCATCGTTCCTCGGTCCTCTTTCGAGCACATGCATCTCCTTATCCTCTTCCTCCTCCTCCTCCTTCTCCTATGTGTTTCTCCTCCTCCACCCCCTTCGCATCCTTCTCTTCCTCCTATCCTCTGCCTCTCGGCCCTCCACCCCCTCCTCCTACTATGCCCCTCCTCCTCCTCTTCCTCGCCTGACCCCCCCCTCTTCGTCGCGAGTACCCTTGGTTTCCTTCCGATCCTCATGTTGTTCTCCTCGGGCCCACGCGCCCCCTTTCGCCTGCGTCTGCCGCGGCGCACCAGCTCGAGCGAGGCCGCGGGGGGCCAGCGCCGGCAGGGCTCGGGCGATGTGCAGCCGAGGCCGAGGAGGAGGAGGATGAGGATGAGGAGGAGGGAGGCGGAGGGAGGAGGAGGGGGATGTCGAGGAGGAGGGGTGAGGACGAGGACGAGGGGTACACTGAAGGACGAGGATGAGGAGCAGGAGGCTGCTAGGAGGCTCGAGGAGAAACATACGATCGGAGGCCATTCAACCCCAATGCTGCACACATCATGGCCTGCATGGCGTGCTGATTGTTTTCGCATGCGCGCAGTCGGCCCTGCGCTCTTCTCGAATCCCGTGCCCGTGCACGGCCGCCGTGCACGCTTCGCAAACCGTGCATTCCTTTGTACTCGTCGATCCTCCTCCTCGGGCCGCCCTCTCCTCCTCCTCCTCCTCCCCCTCCCCCTCCTCCTCCTCCTCCTCGTCCCCGTCCTCGGGCTCGTTCTCGGATCGATCGCCATCGATTGTCGCCGTCGACGCTGCTAGCGGCAACCCTCCCCAGCATAATGCCGAGGATCATGATCGGGACCCCGCTCACGTTGCCCCTCACCTGCGCGCACGGCCTTCCTGGTCATCCTTATCCTCCCCCTCCTCCTCCGCCTCGCCCCCTATCTTCTCTCGTCCTTCTCGTCCCTTGGCACCCTTCTCACTACCACCCCATTCCTCCTCCTGCCCCCCTTCAATTTGGCACAAGGCGGCCTCATCAATACATACTCGCCAACGTTGGCCGATGAAGTGCTCGATGTCGTTGCCAGCGCCTCCCAACGCGATCTATGGAGTAACGTCTGCAACATGCATGTCATCAACCAGAGAAGCATCTCCCGAGAACTGGCGTGGGCAGGACATTCTATGTGTATACAACACCGCGCATATAAGTGAGGCCAGAGCGAACGAGAGAGACAGGGGTACAAGAATAGTTGTACATGAGTCGCCACGTCTTTCCTTATCCGCTACCTCCTCCTCCACCTCTGCCTCGTTCATCCTAGCCACGGCCTCCCTGAAGGCCTCGCATGTTCTCATCCCTCATGCTCCTCATCATCCTATTATTCCTCAGGTGTGCCTCCCGAGATCCCCACCCCTCCTCATGGCCAGTGAACTCGCATTCTGGAGTCGCCCCTCTTTCCTTCGAAGCCCCTCTTCCTCAAGTATTATCCTCCCCATCCTATCCTATTCCTCCTCCTCATCCTCCTCAGCCTTCTCAGTTCCCCCTCCTTACCCCTCTCACCCCCTTCTCCTCAGCCACTCGTTCTCAAGCATGCCCCCATGGAGGCGCCTAGCCCCCAACGCTGATCTCCGACGCCAGCACGTACTTCCTGATGCTCTTCGCGGTCGCCTTGCAGTACGTCGACTTCTGGACCACATAGTAGTATATCATGTTCAGCACGTACAAGCTCATGCCGCGCCTGTCCATCTTGAAGTGCTCGAGCTGCTGCTCCGACCACTCCTTGTTGGACACCTGGATGAGCTGAGCCCATGCCGAGTACCCGCCCTCGAGGTGGAACGGCTTGTTCCTGTAGGCGATGGTGTGGTAGCCCTCGGACGCGCGGCTCCTGTACTGCAGCTGGAAGGGGATGCCCTGGTGGTCATTCAGGGTCTGAATGCCCGCCGTCAAGAAGTCTGAGACCTCCTCCCAGCCGTTCTGCGGCTTCGTGAGCTCGATCACAGCGCCATCCTCACCGCCAGCGTCCTCGACGCCAGCGCTCGGCTCCTCGCCGGCAGCCTGCACGTCAACCTCCTCGCACGCGCCGCCAGCCTCCTCTTCCTCATCCTCCTCCTGGTTGGGATCCTGAGCTTTGGCCGTCTTCTTCGAGGCCGAGGGCGCCGCCGATGCCTTCCTCTTGCTACCGCTCGCCCCTGGCTTCGGCACCGCCTTGCCCTTCGGCACCGCCTTGGCCTGAGGCACCGCCACTGGCTTCACCCCATCAGTCGACACCGCCTTGCCCTTCGCCACCGCCTTGCCCTTTGGCACCGCTGGCTTGATCACCCCAGCAGTCGCCACCGCCTTGCCCTTCGCGGCCGCCTTGCCCTTTGGCACCGCCACTGGCTTGATCGCCACAGCAGTCGCCACCGCCTTGCCTTTCGCCACCGCCTTGGCCTTTGGCACCGTCGTTGGCTCCACCCCAGCAGCCGCATCCGCTTTGGCCAGGCTCGGCGGGATGACGGTGAGCACGTTGTCGGCCTCGGTCTTCATCTCCTTCTTCGCCTTCTTCATCTTGTGGCGCTCGCGCTGGCCCATGAGCTCCGCCACGAAGGGCATCGTGATGCCCGAGCTGCTCGCGGCCGAGCTGCTGGCGGCAGCGCTCGATGCCGCGGCTGCCCCCCCGCAGCTCTCCTCCCCCTCCTCGTTGGATCCGATCGTCGGCTCACTATCGCTGAAGAATGAGCCGCGATCCGAGGAAGGGCCCTCGCGGATCGGTGCTGGAGCCTCCCCCTTGACGTCGCCCTCGATCTGTGCTGGGGCCTCCTCCTCGACCTCGTCGTCGTCGCCCTCGATCGGTGCTGGAGCCTCCTCTGCAGCGACCTCGTCATGGTCGCCCTCGATCGGCGCTGGAGTCTGCTCGACCTCGTCATGGTCGCCCTCGATCGGTGCTGGAGCCTCCTCGACCTCATGGTCGCCCTCGATCAGTGCTGGAGCCTCCTCGACGTCGCCGTCCTCGATCGGTGCTGGAGCCTCCTCGACGTCCTCGCCGTCGACCTCGATCGGTGCTGGAGCCTCCCCGACCTCGCCCGCGTCGCCCTCGATCGGTGCTGGAGCCTCCTCGACCTCGCGTGCGTCGCCCTCGATCGGTGCTGGGGCCGTCTCATCGACGTGGTCGTCCTGCGCAACACCCGCCCGCCAACGAACGCGTCATCATCACCCATCCTTCTCGTGCAACCACCGACAAGGTTATGCATGTGAACTCTGCGGGTTAACGATGAGACGAAAACTCACAGACGCTGATCGAGACATGTCACCAAAACATGTCGTTCATGATAACACGAGCGTGTATATACATAACAGCTACCGAAAGAGACAGACTCGTTGATCCCTCCTCCTTCCACCCTCCAGTTCCTCCCTTCAGCCCCTCTCTCCAGCTCCTCCTTCCCGTTCCTGCCGAATGTTCCTACATCACGTTCTTCTCTGACGTACCTCCCTCCTCCTACTTTGTCATGCTCCTCTCTTCCTCTCCAGTTACTGACTCTTCCTCCTCAAGCTACTCGCACGTCCTCCCTCCTCCAGTTATGCTCACCCCCCTCACCCCCTCATCCTTCATGCTACTATAGTTCCTCCCGCCTCAAGTCATTCCTCCCCATGGTGCAGCGGCAGACCCCCCCGTCCGAATACGCGTCGTGCAAGTGCTGCTTGATGATATCGTCGGACACGGCCTCGATGTCAGCACTGTCGACCTGCCACCCTTTCCAACGAACGATGGGCATCACGTCCTCCCGCCCCCTCATCATCTTTCTTCCGCCCTCTTCCCGCGTCCACCCCTCACCCTCATCATCCCACTTCCTCCCTCACCAGCCATCCTACTCATCACGCTTCCTCTTGTTTCCTCCTCGTCCCGTGCCCTCTTGAAATGCAGTCTCATCACAGCCTCATCGCTGTCTGACTTAAATTTCGCGTCTCCCAAATTGGATCGCAGCCCTAGTGTTCCTTCGCTGTTCGTCCCGACCACCCTAAAGACCTACTCACCAGTGTCGCGGCCGTGCATCCTCTGCCAGTGCGCCAGCCCGTTCCTGAAGGCGTTAATCTCGAGAAACCTCGCTGCTCGGGGAAGCGACTCGCAACGCAAACAACGGCATCAGCATCGACGACGTCTATGCTCGAACGAGGATGTCACACGAGGCATGACCAGAAAGGTGGGAGGACGAGAGAGAGAGAGAGAGAGAGAGGGAGGAGAGAGAGAGAGAGAGAGAGAGAGAGTGAAGAGAAGAGAGAGTGCGGAGAGGAGAGAGTGAGAGAGGGGAGAGAGAGAGAGAGAGAGAGAGATGAGTGAGAGAGAGGAGAGAGTTGAGAGAGCACAGATGAGAGTGAGAGAGGATGAGGAGTGTGGAGGAGAGAGATGGAGAGAGAAGAGAGAGATGAGAGAGGAGAGAGAGATGAGAGAGAGAGATGAGAGAGAGAGAGAGAGACGGTCGAGAGAGAGAGAGGGAGAGAGAGAGAGGAGAGAGAGAGAGAGAGAGAGTGAGAGAGAGGACGAGGAGAGAGAGAGAGCAGAGAGAGAGAGAGAGAGAGAGAGATGAGTGAGAGAGGATGAGAGAGATGAGAGAAGAGAGAGATGAGAGAGAGAGAGAGAGAGAGAGGAGAAGAGAGAGAGAGGAGCAGTAGAGAGAGAAGAGAGAGAGATGAGAGAGAGAGAGAGTGATGAGTGAGAGTGAGAGAGATAGACGAGAGAGAGAGAGAGAGAGAGAGAGAGAGAGAGAGAGTGAGAAGAGAGAGAGAGAGGAGAGAGAGAGAGGAGAGAGAGAGAGGAGAGAGATGAGAGGAGATTGAGGAGAGAGAAGAGAGTGAGCGAGAGAGAGAGAGAGAGAGAGAAGAGAGAGAGAGAGAGAGAGAGAGAGAGAGAGAGAGAGAGAGAAGAGAGAGAGAGAGAGAGAGATGATGAGAGTAGAGAGAGAGAAGAGTGAGAGAGAGGGAGAGAGAGAGAGAGAGAGAGAGAGAGAGAGAGAGAGAGAAGAGAGGAGAGAGAGAGATGTGAGGTGTGTGAGAGAGAGACAGAGAGAGAGAGAGATGAGAGAGAGAGAACGAGAGAGAGAAGAGAGAGAGAGAGAGAGAGAGAGAGAGACACACACACACAGACACATGCAGGGGATGAGGGGACCGAGAGCCCCATCTGACCGAACGATGCGCTTCCACCTCCTCCTCCTCCTCCTCCTCCTCCTCCCTTGTTCTCGCGCGACCTCCCCCCGCACAATGCGCCTTCGGGTTCTTCCCGTACCACTCGTCTCCCGCGCACGCGTCCGCAGTGTCCGAGGGGGGCAGCGGCAGGCCAGCCCATCGCACAACCTGTGGCACAAGGAGCCGACGCGGACAGGGGGCCTGATGAGGACAGGGCAGGAAGGGGGTGACGAGGAGACCGAGGACGACGAGGACGAGGACGAAGAGTACGAGTATGAAACGTTGCCGCTGATGGTGATGATACCATGACGACAATGATGCTGCTGATGATGATGATGATGGTGCTGATGGTTGTGATCACGATGGTTGTGGTGATGGTGGTGGTGATGATGATGATGGTGATGCTGATGCCAGTGATGATGATGCTGATGATGATGGTTATTGTGATGGTGATCATGACGGAAATGGTGATGATGATAAGTATGATGATGATTATGATGGTGGTGATGATGATCCTAATGTTGATGATGATGATGATGATGATGGTGATGATGGTGATGATGATGATGATGATGATGATGATGATGATGATGATGATGGTGGTCATGGTGATGATGATGCTGGTGATGATGGTAGTGGTGGTGATGCTGTTGATGATGGTCATACGGTGGTGATGGTGGTGATGATGATGAGGATGATGATGATGACGATGACGAGGATGACGACGGGGATGCTGGAGATGATGATGCCGAGAAGGCTGAGAATGGGGGGCCTGTGGAAGATGAGGGAGGGTGATGATGAGGACGAAGACGGGGACTGACAGAGGACTACAACCAAGAGGGGGGAGGAGAATTCAAGGACGAAATGGGAGGGGACGGGGGCAGGAGGGAGTGGAGGAACGGGGGTGATGGCGAGGCAAGGGGCAAACCGTAAGGACAATGATAAGGGGTCGAGGGAAAAGCATGGAAGGCGACGGGGAAAGGACGGACTCGAGCCGAGAAAACGGGACGAGGACAGGCACTGAAACAGAGAGGGCAAGAAGGGACCGCCGATGAGGGGGTGACGGGGAAGCCCAATGGGAAGAATAATGCCACCGCTGCGGTACCACCCCTGCGGACAATTGTTTCGGCCTGGCGCGACCTGGTGAGGGAGGACAGGAACCTGAGTCTACTCATCATCCTCCTCCGCCCCTCATCACCACTACTATCATGATACCGGAGAAAAACCCCAATCAGATTTTTGTTAGGGCTATAGGGCTATAGGGCTATTGGGCTATAGGGCTATACGGCTATCGGGCTATAGGGCTATCGGGCTATGGGGCTATAGGACTGTGACCTATAGGGCCATAGGGCTATAGGGCTATGGGGCTATAGAGCTATATGGGCTATGGGGTTATAGGGCTATAGGGACATAAGGCTATTAGGGCTATAGGGATCTAAGGCTATAGCTAGGGCTACAGGGCTATTTTGAGCCGGCGACTTGGGGTTTAACGTTCGCGGGGGAAACGCCGACAGCAATCCCAGTTGGCGCCAACAGGATTTTGTGTTCGAGGGTGGCCCGCAGGGCAGGTAGGTGACATAGAAGAAGTATTTCTCTCCATGTGGCCCGGCTTTGCTGCGTCCCCATTGTCGCGCACGACAACGCGATTGCCGAATGCCTGCCCTTTCCCTCGGCGACCACAAGGAAACGCGCATGAGCACGGTTGTCGACATTGTTGCGCTACTTGTGTGTCGCGATCCTCATAACCCATGCAATCCATGTAACGTATAGCGTACCTTCTCATGCCGCCCGCCTGGAAAATGGTAGTTCGGGCGCTGGACTAAACCTGCCGCGGGCACGCCCGCCCTTCAGCCCGGCTCACGCAACGCCGTTAAACAGGACGCGGGTCTTGTGGAGCGAACTTCTCGCGTCCTCAAAAAGGGGGGAACGACAGGAGTATAGATCGCACCGCGGTGCTTCTGTCCCTTTGGACGGCGAGGCGGCCCGAGAGCTGGACGTCAGACTGCTGTCGGCGCCGTGCGTGGGCCAGCAACGACTCGACGAATATACGCATCCTGCTGACACGTTCTGCGCGTGCGACCTGGCCTGTGCGACTGCAAGAACGGGAACCACGTTTCGCCCTTGGCTGCATGGGCGGCGAACGGGAGATGGCATGCGCCCAGTGGCCCGCCCGCCCCGATAATGCGCAGACCAAGAGGCTTGATCCACAATGGCGACGGACACGATCACCGCATGCGCCAGGAGATTCGTTTGGGATGGACGCCGAGACCAGCAGAAGCCCTCTGCCGAACATCCAATGCGGCTTTGTCGATTGAAAGGGCACGTGGCCCTGTGCGCGTTCCGAGGCGCGTTGCGTTAAGCGTCCTCGCAAGTAAAAGTCCGAAGCCTATTCATCAGTCCGGCATGACATCCTCGCGAAGCGATGTCTGTTAACACCCCAACGGGAGCCATATATTGTTCCGCCACGTGGCGACTGCCACCCTATGGTAGCGTTCGCGCTGGGGCGGCTCGAACCTTGTGGGACGTCAGTTCCGCCCATCCTCCACTACACTACTTACTGCTGCTGCGCGTGCACGCACGCATACACACAGGCACGTTCAAATGGCAAGTGGTCATCCAGGGTGGTGCATCTCATAAGCAACGTCTGGCGATGGATCTCCGAAATCAGATGTCGGCCCGCGCATGGGGGCACCAGGCTGCGGGGAGACGGTTGTCAGTATTAAGGCACTGTGGACGCTCCTGCTGAGGTCAGGCACATGCTCGTCGCTGGCAGCCAGGATGGTTTTATCGAAGCTTGGCAAACAATGATTGTTGGCTGTTGCCCGTGCTGCGCTCGGAGGCTGTTCAGCAACAGTGCCAACTTGCTGTCGCATTGAAACCGCCCCCGCATCATATACTGCAAACAACCAACGAGAGATGCGCCAAAAGCGGAAATGCGAAAACGTCTCGCGCGAGAGCGGCCAGTCCGACCAGCTGTTCGAGGCGGGGTGCGAGAGCCGCTTCGGTTTCCAGGTGTCCACAGACCCTCCCCGTGCAAGACGGATCCAGCTGTGGCGACGAAGCGAGCCCAGCTGTGGCGACCAAGGGGGCGGGGAAAGCGGCGAAGCCTGTCCGATGGGAGGGCGGATGGTGAGTGGATGGGGACAAACGGAGAGGGGGGATTAAAGGCAGGTCGGGCGAGGGGGGACGGAGGGGGTGCAGCACCAACAATGGCAGGCGTGAGAGTAGGCGCGTCAGGAGGGGCGTGGGCAACGAGAGGGACGCAGCGGTAACGCAGAAAAACGAAAACGTCTCACGCGAGAGCGGCCAACGTTTGACCGGCGTTTCTCGGCGAGGGCGATAGCCGCTTCCATCTCCAAGTGCCCCCAGGCCCCTCTGTCGCAAAACTGAGACGGCTGTGGCGCCGAGGCGACTCTAGCTGCAGTTGGCGCAGTCGGTCGTACACCATACGTTTCCCCGTGTAGCGCGCACCACGCAGGTGATCCACCAGCGGGTGGGCCAGCCGAACACTGTCCGAGAAAGCAACCTATAACATCCCACCAGCCCTATAGGGCGTAGGTGGTTTAAGGCGTTTCTTCTTCCATCCTCCCCCTTCCCCTTCGGGGAGGGGTTTACCGCTCCCCCATGCCCCCTCGCCTGGACGTGGACGGGGCGTTTCGCGAGCGGTCAGAGCGTTCAATATGGCTCAATATGGCTCCAAGAGGGCCTCAGGGAGCCCAAGACGACCTCTTAGACGGCTCAAGATGGCCCAAGATGGCGCAATATGGTTTCCAATATGCTCCAAGAGGCCCCAAGATCGCCCCAAGACCGTTCCAAGAGGCCGAAGAGCTTCCCAAGGAGGCCCTCAAGAGGCCAAAATCCTTCAATAACCTTAAGAAAATCATTGATTGTTGCTTTCTCGCCTTTTCGCTTCCGATGGCCTTCCGAGGCCTCAAGATGGCCTCAAGATGGCCCTAAAGGGCCCCAAAAGTGGCCCAAGAGAGCCCCAAGACGGCCCCAAGAGCGTCCAAGAGCGCCCCAAGAGAGGTGCAGGGGGCGATTTGGGGGGCTTCCGAGAGGGGGGGGCCCTAATTGGGGAACCCCGCTTCTTTGATCGATCGCCTCCAAGATGGCTCCCAAAACGCCCCTAAAGCTCTCAAAAGCGCCCCAAGAGGGCCCCAAGAGGCGCCCAGACGGCCCCAAGAGGCCTCCAAGAGGCCCCCAAGGCGCCCCCAAGAGGCCCCAAGAGGCTCCCCCGATGCACCAACGACGGTCCAAGAAACTTCTGGGACCGCCAAGAGGCCCCCCCCAAGACGCCCCAAGAGGCCTCCAAGAGGCTCACAAAAAACATCCCAAGAGACTCCGAAGGGCCTCCAAGAGGCCTCTGGCCCTTCTGCTCGTCATCCCCTCGTCCGCCTCCTCCTCCTCCCCCTCCTCCCCCCCTCTCCCCCTGCCCCACCCCGTCCTCCGATTCCACCATCATATTTCCCTCTTGTAGTATCACGGCATCCCCCGTCCTTTGTTTCCCTGTATGCTCCTACGCTCCCCTGATCGAAGCAACTCCTCTGGGCGTCGTTGCTGGACACCTGACCGGCAAATCCCGATAGTCGGTACTCTTCGCTAGAGTGGCTGTTTTAGGACGGGCTGGTGGGGATTCGCGAAACGTCAACAATAGGGACTGTGGGCCTCAACATGAGTTGGCGCAGTACGCGATCCCCCCGCGTAGCGCGCAACCGCACAGGTGACCCGCCAGCGGGCGGGTCACCCGAAAACTGGCCAGGAGAAACCAACTGTAAAAGTTTGTTCATGGGCCTCAACATCAACTTGTGCAGTCGTGCTCCGTTCGGTTCCCCTGTGTCGCGCGCGCCACACAGGTGGCCCGCCAGCGGGTGGGCCGCCGTAAAACTGGCTGAGAAAAGCAAAATATAAAAATGTGATTCTGGGCCTCAGTGTGAATTTGCGCAGTCGTACTCCATGCGATCCCCCCGTGTACCGCGCAACACGCACGCGACCCACCAGCGGGTGGTGCACCCGAACATTGTCCGATAACAAATGGTTGTGCACATTGGCATATGGGAATCATCATGACTTGCTGCAGTCGTACGCCGTACGAGTCCCCTGTGTAGCGCGCACCACACAGGTAAGCCACAACCGGGCGGGTCACCCGAAAACTGGATGAGACAAGTGAA